CACGAATTATTTTTCTCTCACCACTCTTCTCCCCATCTCTCACCTCTCCTCACCTCTCCTCATCTCTCCCCTCCTCAGCTCTCCTCCACAGTGAGGGGAGAGGACAATATTACCTACAACCCCGCGGCTGGTCCTAAGCAGGAAATAAGCCCCTGGAGGCCACCCAGCCGCCCACTTTCTCTACCCAACCGCCCACTTTGGCCACGCTGCCGCCCATTTAGCCACCCTGTCGCCCACTTTGGCCCCTGCCTCTCAGACACTAAATCTAGATCTGACACCAAATTTAAGTTACATAACAAACACAAAAATGAGTAGTGGCTGGCTAACATTTCTGACCAATTAGCACACCATTAGTGTTTAGTACTCCGGGAGGTAATTAGTTGTAGTGTCGTATAACTACTGTAGCGAAGACTCCATTGTTATGGTGGCAATACTTGTCTTAAACGTGAGTAACGCCGAGGTATTTCTCGTTATCCTTTTGTGACTGGTCGATATCCCTCTGTGACTCTGGTAGATGTTGTTGTTAAAGATTCGCTACTTGGAACAAACAGTTCCAAGTAACACGGGCTATGGTGAGCCCGTATCTGGTAGATATCCCTCTGTGACTCTGGTCGATATCCCTTTGTGCCTATGGTAGATATCCCTCTGTGGCTCTGGTCGATATCCCTCTGTGGCTCTGGTCAATATCCCTCTGTGCCTCTGGTCGATATCCCTCTGTGGCTCTGGTCAATATCCCTCTGTGCCTCTGGTCGATATCCCTCTGTGGCTCTGGTCGATATCCCTCTGTGACTCTGGTCGATATCCCTCTGTGACTCTGGTCGATATCCCTCTGTGGCTCTGGTCGATATCCCTCTGTGGCTCTGGTCGATATCCCTCTGTGGCTCTGGTCAATATCCCTCTGTGGCTCTGGTCGATATCCCTCTGTGACTCTGGTCGATATCCCTCTGTGGCTCTGGTCGATATCCCTCTGTGACTCTGGTCGATATCCCTTGTGGCTCTGGTCGATATCCCTCTGTGACTCTGGTCGATAATCAGGTTCAATCTGATATGCGTTTTGGGTCGTTATAATAACGTAGCGCTCGTTTGACCTTTCAGTAGGTCAGTATGTCATACTAATGGGTTGATTTGTGCACCCCTGGACATCACTGGTGAATGGATCCAAGAGGACACTGTTGAACCGGTATAGTGATCCTCGACGACAATGGTAAACACTTCACTGTTCACAGAAATAGTGAACTCTGTCATGGTAAAGAGGAACTCGTTCAGGTGGTTTAGGGTATTCGTCACAAGTATGCGGCGCCTGCTCGAGGCGCCACATACTCGTGGGGGAAAATAATGATGGTCTTGTGGGTGAAACATCTGAGACAAGTGTGTGGCGGTACATGACGTCACAGTGTCATGACGTCACGGTGTCATGACGTCACGGTGTCGCTAGCTCCCGGGAGCCACACTGCTAAGAGGCTCAGTTGCTCCCGGGCATTCATAGTGAACAGTTGTGTTGCGCACCTCTCTCTCTGCCACCTTGCCTTGTTCTATTACATTTAACAGTGGTGTTTGTGGTGTTAAATAGTTCTCATGGCACCTATCATGGTCGTAAACAAAGAAAATGCTGCTAAGATAATTGTTTTGAAGCAGGACGGCCGCCAGATGAAGGAAATTAGGGAGTTGGCGGAGCGGTCCGCAGAGGGCAATGGCCGCTTCCAGGGGGCCGCCATGTTGGGTCAGACGCCATCACATACAGCAGGCTCTGGCCGCCCCAGGAAGACCTCTGTAAGGTGTGTGAACGGTCCTAAATGTTCCTAAATGTTCACTGGAGAGAACACCACAAGTTCCAGCGAGGGTAGTGAAGGAGAACATCCCCTTTGGTGCAGTGGTGCGGACCGTGTCTTTCCTCAGTCACAAGTTCGGTTATGGTAGCCAGATGCCAGCGTCGTAATATCTAACATAATATGCTAGGTAATATGTCGCACATGTTAGGTAATATGTAACATTATTACATATTACGTATCACAATACAACGGTGGATTATTGCAGTAAAATGAAGACTCGGTTCCGCTAGTCAGTAGTGAGCCACAGATTGGCTTCTATTCTGAGAGCAGGATTGGGTATAATTCTCAGAGCAGGATTAGGTATTATTTTGAGAGGATGATTGTGTAACAGCTTCCATATGCATCACACTTCCTCGCCTCTCTCTCCTACCCCCCCTCCCCCCCCCCCCCGTCTCATTAGACAATCTCCCAAAACAATCTCTCGAATACAATCTCCCCCAAGCAGTACCCCCAAATAGCTTCTACATATTCTCCATAAAAACCTTTCCTCCTAATCAAACCACAAGTCCACTACGGGCTCACCATAGCCCGTGCTACTAGGAACTTTTGTTCCGAGTAGCTAAAACAACAACAATCAATCCCTGGAAACAATCCCTCACAAACAATTCCCTACAAAGTATCCTTTGAACAATAGTCACCAGAGGCTGATGACTTTGCTTCTCTGTCCTCAGACTGAACCGTCAATCCACTATGGTGTCCGTCACACAGGTGCTACTGCCAGCCACCCCAGCCCGGCTGCTGCTACTTCTACGTGAGTACTGTTTGTGTACTGTACACTTGTATATATTGCTTAATGTCCTCTGTACTATACTCTATTTGCAGGTGTTTACAGTGGCTGCAAACCACTGCGCTGTAACTGAACCGGCTGTTTCGTTATGTCTTTGTGTAATAAAAGTAATGGTTTTTGGCCGCCTGTGTAATGGATTCTCTTCCAGGTTATTCACAGTTTCTTCCCCTGCATGGAAGGTTCCTCTCAAGGTCCTTCATCGCTCTTTACATCCTGGGAAATCTTGCACTTTTGAGGGATTTCTCGAACAAAGGTCGCGTTTTCTGGTGTGGTGATCACCTCCCTCTTCTTTCTCTCTCCCTTCCTCCCTCTATCCACTCCTCTCCTCCTCCCTCCCTTCCCTTTCCTCCTCCTTCCCTTTCTACTATCTTTCCTTCCTCTCCCTTCCATCCCTGCGTTCAATCCCCGACCGTCCAAGTGGTTGGGCACCATTCCTTCCCTCCGTCCCATCCTAAATCATTATCCTGACTCCTTCCCAGTGCTATATAGTCGTAATAACTTTTCGCTTTCCCTCTTATAATTCCCTTCCTTCCATCCCTCCTTTTCTCCCTCCTGCACGCATGAAAGTCACCAACTACTTCACTTCCTTTTGATCTTCCCATTCATTTACTCCTTCTCCTCTTCCCCTTCTCTTTTCCCCTACCCTCTTCCTCTTCTCCTGCGTCTCTAGGTGTACCATTCACCATCACATCTCTTCACGCACCGAAGGTTCTTTTATCTTGGCTTGTGTCTTAGTGCCTCTGTCCCAGCCCTGTCCCTTCTGTCCCAGCCCTGTCCCTCCTGTCCCAGCCCTGTCCCTCCTGTCCCAGCCGCAGAGGGGGGTCACATTACGTCATCTTGAAGGATACAAAGTGGAGGAATCTGGTAACAACAGCATATATGACAAGAAATATTTTCCAAAATACAACAACGTGAGATTATTCAACTTATATTTACCTGAATTAACCGGAGGGGCACACTCTAGTGGCCTCGACAGTGACAGGAAGTCGACGGGTTGTCAAAGGTGATCACCTCAAAGGTAATTATACACACACACACACACACACACACATATAATGTATATATATATAATTATTCACTTGAAAACTCGGAGCCTCTAACTGGCGATCACAAACAGTGTCTCAGGTGGAAACAAGGAAAAACTCGCCTCATATTCTGGCTGACAACACATGGAAGTCTGTGGAACAAACATTCGTGGAAACACTTCCTTCAAGACTTCATGAACAGTTGCGACAAAGAACTGAAACATCTTGAAGTTAATATAAGCACCAGGTACAAAACAGCTTTTATACGGGGCATAATGAGCCAGGTCAACCACTTGGGGTGGACGGTAGGGCTGCTGGAGGAATGTAACAAGTGAGGACCCCCCGAAGGCTCGATCCAGGGACCACTATTCCTATTATATCTGAAGAATCTACGAGTGAATGAGTACTTACATGTCAATGGAAGTACTCATTCACAGAATGTAAAAACAGAGGAGGCATGCAGGAAGACCATAGCACAGTTGTGGGCTTGCAAATGGATGTCTTTAATTCTAACGTTTAATGGTTACATTATAATGGAACAGGAACAGCAGGGCTGGAAGGCTCTGCTGTAAACAGCTACGTTTGCCCGTAGTCACCGATATGTAGTTACAAATACCTGAGTGCAATGTATCTCATACCCTGATACATTATGTATGACTCGAGGAAATATCTTTTCACCGATAACATATCTAGTTATCCATGTATTTACTGTTCCTCGTGTCTCCATGGCCCAGTTCTTCCCTCCACCTGGCCTACTTCTTTGTCCCCCTCCTCCCCCACCCTCTCTCTCTCTCTCCTCCCCCTCTCCCTCCAACACCCTCTTTCCCTCCCTTTCTCATTTCCTCCCTTCCTGCCTGTGAGGCAGTTCCCCTCCCTGACCATGGTCGCCCCACGAGGCACAGGGACATATCAAGGGAGCTGCCTATACCATCTGAACGCGTCATCACCGCCTCCCCACTCCAGCAGTTCACGGATAAAATGTCTGCTTGGAGAGAGGTTTGTTGGCTCCAGGCGATGTGTGTGAGGCGAGAGAGAGAGAGAGAGAGAGAGAGTGGGAGACAAAGAGGGTGAGGCAGAGGAGAGGAAGAGGGAGGTAGAGGGAAATGAAGAGGAAGAGAGAATGTGGCCATGTAACTGGGAATATCAGATAATAGAAACCAGTTTGGCCTATACTTAAGAGGTTTGCTGGGAAAATTAGAACCAATTTACAGCCCTTGGAAAGACTCCAGACCCAATTTTGTCACGTGTGGTCAGCCCGGAGACGGCTTCCTCCAGCACACCAGCTGAAGGAAGAATGTAAAATGGACAAACATACTACTATTACTACTACTAGTAGCAGTAGTTCTGTGACTACTTCCACCACTTGCTGTAGTTACTACTGCCACATACTGTGACTACTTCTTCAACTTACTGTGACTACTGCTACTACTATGACAACTTAGTGTGTTACTAGAGTCATATAGACCACTGTATCCTGTGTGTACAAGTGGCGCCCTGTGACACACGAGGGGAACATAATGTGTTCTCTACAAAACCAGTTATAAAGTGACTGAGAACAACCGACCAGAGGCGGCTCTGGTAGTGACGTCGACCTCCCACTTGAGGTCAAGTTGTATTTGGAACACATTAGATCTTACACAATACACATTAGTGTGTTGTGTAAGTACACCTTTCTCAAGACGTTTGTAATGACTTCCTCAACCACTAATTGCCCATGTAGCACGATCCGTCTTTGAACAAGGGCACCAGCAGCTAAGGGTCGGTCGGTGCCCGGTGGCTATGCCTGCCTATGGCCAGAATTCATGAAGCACATTTACGAAACCTGTACATCTCTCAACAACGATGGCGGCTTTGTTTACATTTATTAAACAGTTTACGAGCTTCACATGTCATAACAAACAAGGTTTAATGGCCATAATAACCTCGTTGTTCTCCGGTGTTCATAAACTGCTTAACAAGTGTTAAGTTAGACTAACGAATCTGAGAGCTTCAGCGGTACTGATTCAGAGAGTTTTGTCATATATATTCGACAGAGAGAAAGGCAGACAATTGAGAGAAGAGAGCACTTAGAAGTGCTATCAGGATAATGATTTTGGGGTAGGACGAAAGGAAGGAATGGCGCCCAACCACTTGGATGGTCGGGGATTGAACGCAGAGAGAGTGGAAAGAAAGTTACAGCAACCAGATCCAATATTTGGGTTGAGGGGTAAATATAATAAGAGGAGAAGTAAGATTGGGTGATAAGAGGGTGCAGGGAGGATGGGATGAGAGGCTCTCAGCGTAAACAGGACCAAATTGAGGAGCTGGTCAGATGAACGTCAGGGTGGATGGCGGCCGAGGAGACGGAGATCCCTGGCCAAGATGGAGCGTCCCCCAGGGTACACCAGGCCGCCCTCAGGGGGTGTGGGGCCACCTCAGACCTGGACCCACAGGTTCTGGGACGGAGAGAACCAAGAAGGAAGAGAACCAGGGACGGAAGAGAACCAGGGACGGAAAGAACCAGGGACGGAGAGAACCAGGGACGGAAAGAACCAGGGACGGAAAGAACCAGGGACGGAAAGAGCCAGGAAGGGAGAGAACCAGGGACGGAAAGAACCAGGGACAGAAGAGAACCAGGGACGGAGAGAACCAGGGACGGAGAGAACCAGGGACGGAGAGAACCAGGGCCGCAGAGAACCAAGAAGGGAGAGCTAGTTAGGGAGAAAAGATTCATCTTTATTCAACTATCTTAGTAAGCTTCACGCCCCTCGGAACCGCGAGACCTTTGAAAGAAACACTTGATAATGAACCTTATCATATTGTGATGCCATGGTAGTTATTCAGTCCGTTCTCTTGATCTGTCACAACGTACACCGTCCAACGTCGTAACCTCACCCAGAAACGTACCAACCCAAGCCACCCACCTAACCAAACCAACCAGTGCATAGAAAACGTAGATTAGTGTGAGGCGGAACATACAGTAGGTTGTATTTGGTACGTTGGTAACCACGACGTGCCATAACGTTGCAGTAGTTGAGAGGACGGGTTAAATGGCGCTTTTTGACCAGTTAAATGTCCAGTTTTGTTGAAATGGAAGTTTTTGATGATTTATATTGTATGTTATATGAGAAAAATTAATTCTTAAAACTACGTTTTGTTTTAAACTTTAGTAAAATAATGTTCCATTTCACATTACTTTAAGATCCATTCTAAACTACATTGTTCCCACAATCCTCCACAATGAGCACCTTACAGTGTGTACTCGCCCTGTTGTGCTTGCGGGGGTTGAGCTCTGGCTCTTTGGTCCCGGTTCACTTGTTGTGCTAATGGTCTTATGAAATTTAACGTATATCTTAATTTTCTCAACGTCGTTAACAGTATTTAACGCTATTTCTAGTCATCTTCAAAATCTAAACTGAGCAGATTGCTGTGTAGTGGAGCTCGGGTGGAGCAGGTTGTGCACCTGGTCAAGTACAGCAAGAGGTACAGTTACAACAATTACACCAAGAGGCACGACAAATGCATAAGAGGTATAAGAAAATAAAAAACAGCCAGAACAACGACAACAAACACAGAACAACCGCAACAAGTACAAAACAGTGACAACACAACAGAACAATGGCAAGAAACAACACAATGACAACAAACACAGAACAATGACAACAAGAAGTGGGCAGGTGAGTTTAATGACTTTCCAGCGAGCACTTGATTACTTACCACCAAGTTCCTGTGTGGACCAACTGGCCAGAGGGCCAGGCAGGCCAGGCAGAGGCCACCACAGAGGAGAGACACACCACACAGGAGAGACACACCACAGAGGAGAGACACACCACACAGGAGAGACACACCACAGAGGAGAGACACACCACAGAGGAGAGACACACCACAGAGGAGAGACACACCACAGAGGAGAGACACACCACAGAGGAAGAGTATTGCAGAAAGGGAGAAGTGGAAGAA